CACCAACGTTTGATTGTGCCGTAAAGGTGAGATTTTGTTTTGTTTTTTCAAAAAAATGAATAAAATTTAACAAGTTTGGATTTTTTAGAATATTAAGTCTTAATTGAGATTAAAACATTTTTAATTTTTTCGAAGTTATGAGGGTGCCATAAATCCACACGATACATACCAATCAATTCAGAAAAATAAAATTATATATAAAATGAATTCTTGTATATATATATATATATAAACAATCACGACGTAAAGGATCAATGAAATGCCGATTAATTTTATAAGGGTTTACCAAAATAAATTATTCAATAGCAATTATATCATATATATATATAAATCTTGTTTTTCTCCCTCAAAATAAAATACGTGAGGATAGAATGAGAGAAATTGGGAAGTAAAGGAGAGGTTAAACAAGGAATTGGTGGAGTAACAAAAGAAGAGAAACCGTGAACATTGTTACAAATGGCCAAGGTTGGTAGGTATGGTGCCGATGATACGATGATGTTAACATTGTCGATGATTACATTGGTACAACCCGATCCCTTGGTATTGCAATTCAACACGATCGCTTCTTTATTAGCCGATGTTCCGCGGAAGTCTTTGAACGTTATGTCATGTCGCTTACTTTCACTCCATCTCCCGACTCACTTCCCTCCTAGATCATTTCATTAATCCCATATAATCATTTTTTATTTTTATTAGTTTAATTAAATGTAATTTATGAAATTGCTTCATACTTACAGGGAATATGAGATTAGGATTATAGAACTGGTCAATTATGATGGGATTTCTCGTATCCACAAGGTTGATTTGGTTGAAAGAAATCTTCCTAGCATACCCAGATCCACCCTAAAATAGTTTATTAATAATAATAATTAATTATGTACATAATCGTTTCAAATCTTCTCTAATTAATTTTTTTTTACGTTACCTGCCAAGTCTTGATTCTCGCTCCATTTTGAGTTCCTATAAGCGTGCAATTTTGAACTTGTACTTCTTCAACCCTCGAGTATTCTCCATTTGTAATTCATAATTTCTGGTAGAATAATATAATTTTGATTGATTGATTAATCATACCTGATGCCGTGGCCAGTGATGTTAATACGAGAAGACCCAGTGTTGATTGCAATACAGTCTATCACCTGTATGAATATAAATACATATTTACGTACATAATAATTAATATATAATAGTGAATGGAGTCCGAAATGTCAATTCCATCCGTGTTTGGGAGCAACTCTGCACCCATTTATGCTTATATGGTTTCTTGGACTATTTACATGCATAATATTACTCACATCCACTCCGTGGAAATGAATTGCCTGCCCCCCCCCCCCCCCCCCCGGGAAAACTAATTAGTTCTCAATATTTTTTTTTTTAAAAGAAATATATAATTAAATACTGAATTAATAATAACGAATTATTACATCCAGAGTGGCAGTTTCGTAATTTTGATTGCAATATTTCCACCAAACAGGACCCTGACCGTCGATTCGTCCTCCGCCGTTGATGGTGAGACCGTTGATATTTGAGAAACTAATCCATGCTCCCAAACCATCCCCCGTTCTCCATCTCCTTCTCGGTGCAACAACATTCCCTCTAACCTATTTCCAATAATTTTTATTTATTTATAGGACTTCAATATACACACACGCACGCACGCACATTTCATTGTCTTATAAATAATTATTAAAATTATAACTAGTGTATAACACAGAATATAAATTTATTTCTTTTAAAAATAATGAATAATTAAAATATTTTTAGTAAAGAAATGATAAATATTAAAATATTTTAAAAATAAAGAATGAATAATATATATATATATATATATATACACACGCACACATGCATATATGATATTGTAACAATTATTAACCTGAATGTGAATAGTTTTGGAGTTGCAGGGACCCAGGAACGTGATAGGGTTGAGCATGAAAGTTTTCCCACGAGGAACGTCGAGTGTTGGGTTGCCTTCCCGTGCTCCACATACATCTCTCCATGCTCTAAGAAATGACTGTATTACATACATACATACATACATATATATATATAAAAGTAATTTCAGAAGATTTTTTATAATCAAATCTCTTATTATAATCAACGAAAATTGATAGAGAAAGACATATACATATTAACGAAGAAGGAAATATACTCACATGTGAATCATCAGTAACACCATCACCAACAGCACCATATCTCACAACATTATAAACATCGCTTGTCACATAGGAGGAATCAAATGGAATACACGAACACCATCCAATTAGAAACCCTAAATACGTAACAATAATTAAATTATTCATGGAACCCACGAGAAAAAAAGGTGGAGAAGAAAAATGAAAATCAAAGACACTAGAGGTAGCTGTAAAAGAAATTAAGAATTAAGAATGGTGGTGAAATGGAGGAGATATATGTACACATATGTACATGTATACGTATATTAAAAGATGGAGAAATGACAAAAGTTATGGGAAATTTTCCATGTGTGATTTCTGATTTCTGGTTCCTGAAATCTTTCAATTTGTTTTCGTAAATTCAGCAACTTTTTCTCATTTAATGCATCATATAATTTTTGTGCATCTGTTTTTCTTCTTTTATTTACTATTATGTTTTACATATTTATGAAAAATGTATTTCTTAAAAATATTTTGTTCAAAATGAACATAAATAATTACTCACTAGACACCTACTAGCTGGCTTGGTTAATATTAAAAAGAAAATTAGAAATATATAAATTATTACTCATGGTTAATCTGGTCTAATACCAACACGATTTACTAAAGAGATTTTGCATACATACATACATACATATATATATATATATATATATATATATATATATAAAAGGGATTTTTTAAGCAAATATTGAAGAAATTATTGAAAAAGAGAAAATTACTATAATTTGGAATTTTGTTTCTTTCTAAAATTATCATCTTTTGGAATTTTCAATATATTTTTTATTAAAATAAAAGTTTGGAAGTTTTAAATTAGCTAGACAAATAAGAGTTTATGGAAATCTAGTGAGAGGTTAAGAAGGAATGTTGTTGAAAAAGCATATCATGTAATGATCTAAAAAAAAAAAAATACAATAGTTTTCTATAATTATGGTAAAGTTTTATTACAAGATATTATAATTTACAAATCCTTCTTTTAATCATGATTTTTTTTTTTATTTTATATAATGCATGTTATTGAGCCATAACAAGTCATATATTGAAATGTCAAATCATATATTCCCTTTGTTCTTCAATCTTCGGTGTATGAGCATATACATACCATCTAGCTCCTCCATACATAATATTATTTTCAAATGAGAAACTTAATTATTTATAAGGACTATTTGTAAATTGTTTTTGTTAAATTCCTAATTATATAGCATATGTACTATTGAATTATTAGTCCGTTAAAATGTTCAATTAACTTAATAAAGTTATTCAACTTCTAAGACAATCTTTTAAATGGTATCAAGTTTGTAATATGTAGAGAATTAATGTTTTATTTTATTTTAATTTTCAGATTAATTATCTTTTAGAAATTTAACTAAAAAATTATTATTTTTTTAAAAAAAAAACTTTATACGCATTTTATTTTTCAATAGAGTTTAAAAATTATCACCGCTGAACAGTAATCTTAATAATCTTAACAAAAATAATTAATTTTTTTTTTTAAATCATGCAGGTAATAAAAGTAAGCATTGTGATTTTTAGTTAATAATTCTAAATAGAGTAATTATATTTTTAATTCATTTTTATATAAAAAAATCATTAAAAAATTACATTTTGGAATAATTTAGTAATTTAGAGTCCAAATAAAAATAAATAAATATGAGTTCTGAATTATGATAGTTGATATGTATCATAATTTAGAAACTAAATTGATAATAATTTTCCATATATTTAGAATATAATTTTTCGTATATTTAGAAATTCTTAATAATTCGTTCCCATATAATCGGAAAAGAATATTATTTTGTTCATTCCAAATTTACAAAGAGAATATTTGGTGTCCGAATAAACATAACCTATTAAGAATATTTTTTTAATTAAATTGAATAAAAAATATCTTTTATAAATTTTAAACGATAAATTAAAATATTAAGTATTATATATGTATTAATTGTTAGCTATATTTTGATTAATTATTGTTTGTTAGTTTTAATTTTGATTAATCTTCTCCATTTTTAAGTTAATTTTCTTCTTATAAATTTTTGGTAAAAATTTGGGCATTTGGAGAATCCACTAGGTTTATGGACCCAATAAAAATAAAATATCAACTTTTATAGAATTAAAATTTTAACTGTAACGATCCCGAAAATTTAAAAACGAAATATATATAAAGAATATAAGTGCTGAAGCGAAATAAAAGGTTCTGGTTAATATCTCTTACACGATAATTTAAACGTACTAACAATACCCGTGAACCATTCCCTTGACAAACTTAATTTCCATGGCCGTTCCCATACTCCGTCCGGTATGGGTGCCAAACAATAAACCTCAATACCCCGTCTGGTATGAGGGTGAAACGAGCCGTCCCCATACCCCGTCCGGTATGAGCGCCAAAATATTTAAAATCTCCATATCCCGTCCGGTATGAGACAACGTTCTCAGTAGGGTTCCCTATGGAGCCGGTCCGTCCACCATCTCCTAGGATATCTAGTGAGGTTGTCAACTTATTCATTTATCAATTTACACCCCTTTCTTATTTTTTTCTTGGCTTCCCTTACCCATTCAAACATGAATACTTAAACAAACAACGAGCATCCAACAAGGTAAGCATATATTAGATTCACAAAATCAAGCGATAGTTAAGTAAACAGTGATTTATGCATTCAAAACCATAGAATAAATAAAACAGATACCATAATGCATTTAAAGTATAAAATAAACCAAACAGAAACTGACAGAGAAATATGTTCGATTCGAGCTCTATTAGCAACTGTAATTAATTATACATATCTACTCAATTTGTACAAAATACAATTTTATCATTTATTCAGATTTTAATCCTATGATAGGAAATAGGGTGAGGGGTTCTTACCTGATTCGAAGCCAAAAACTGGATTTTCACTGCGCCTACGGGCAGTCCCTGGGTTTCCTGAATTTTTTCACAGGAACTGAAACGCGCTTACGATACCTGCACATGTCCTAAATAACTCAAAAATCAGACCCAAGGCCTATTCGACCAATTTCAGAATTTCAGCACGGCGGAGCCGCCGTGCTGCATCGGGTTGGCTGTTTCCGACCGTTTTCGACCGAATTCGACCAAACTTGCATTGGTTCTTGTGAGAAAACACCCATAGGGCCCTCGGTGGGCCGAAAAAATACGAAAAACTGAAACTTATCGGTGGCGGGGCTTTCCGGTGCGGCGGCTCCTCCGGCTCGAGTCGCGATTTGGTATTTTTCTCCGGTCAACCTGTAGAGAAAGGAACGGTGGTCACAATAGTGTAAAAATTACATCGAACGGAAATCGGAAAGGGCCTCATTGGAGGCAAAAACTGAGAAAACCCACGACGGCGCCGCTGGGCTTCGGCAGCATTTTTCAGCCAATTGGCCAGTGTTTTGGCTCCGATTTGGCCACAAGTGGGTTTAGAATCGAATTCTAAGCCAATGGGAGAATTTTTACCTTGTTTGGTGGCCGTAAAGTGCTCCGGTGCGGTAGTGGGTGGCGACGGTCGGCTCCCTAACGGCTGGGCTATCTTCTCCGACGAGAAATCTGGTGGCTAGGGTTAGGGTTTGGGTGTGGATGAGATTATTTATAACCTTCCGCTTTTAATCTGAGCCGTCCATCGCGATTTAATGTAGATCGTCCGATCGCGATTAAAAAAGAAATGAATCTAGACCGTTCATCGCGATGCAATCTGGGCTGTTCGTGCGCGTTTTTGATCTAGGCCGTCCGTGCGCGCTGGAACGGATCTCAACCATTCGATTGCGCGCACGCGGATTGCCCACGTGGCTCCCTTCTGCGTGGCCTCCCGCGTCAACGTCTTTGCCACGCGGCACGTTCTGGTTGGCCGGGACTGCTGACCGGGCAGCTGACGTGGCACAATTTTTTTAAATTACGTTTTGACCCCCGATTATTAAATTTTCTTTCAAAAATACCCAAAGAACCCAAATTTTCACTATTTTTTTCCAAAATTATTTTTAATTAAATTCTTAAAATAATTTTACCCCTTATTATTATTATTATTATTTCTATTTAATTAAATTAAACTAAATTAAAACTATATATTATTACATAATAAATTATTTTATTCATATAAAAATTAAAAAAAATTAAAATAAAATAATACTAATAATAATAATACCAATTGGGGTGTTACAACTCTCCTCCCTTAAAGAAATTTAGTCCTTCAAATTTGCCTTTTACTCTTGATCGAACAAATGGGGGTACTGAGCTCTAAAATCTGATTCTAGTTCCCATGTAGCCTCCCTTAGTGTGTGTTCTGCCATAAGACATTTACAAAGAATATTTTCCGATTGCGGAGAAACCTACTCTTTCGATCCATAATGCCGACTGCTACTTCCTCGTAGGATAAGTCTTCTTGGAGTGGGAGGGGATCGTGGGCCAAGACATGAGAGGGGTCTGAGTTGTACTTGCGTAGCATGGGCACATGAAATACATTGTGGACCTTGAAAAGCTCTGGAGGTAGTGCTAGTCTGTAGGCAGCAGTACCAATCATGTCTAATACTTCGAATGGTCCAATGAATCGGGAGTTCAGTTTTCCCCTTCTGCCAAACCTACTAATTTTCTTAAAAGGAGTGACCTTGAGGAACACCCGATCGTCTTTCTCAAATGTTAAATCTCTCATCTGGGTGTCCGCGTAACTCTTCTGCCTGTTTTGAGCCGTCTGAATGTTCCTTATGATCTTAACTATCTTGGATGTAGTCTCATCTACCAGTTCCGGGCAAAACAATTTTCTATCGCCCACTTTTTCCCAACAAATCGGTGATCTGCATGGACGCTCATATAACGCCTCATACGGGGCCATGCCAATGCTCGCTTGGTAGCTGTTGTTGTAGGCAAATTCTATCAGGGTAGCTCCCTTCTCTCCTCTTGACCCTGTTGGGCAGCAATGAGTCTTTCTAGCATCTCAAATATTCTGTCAACATCTTTCCGAAGCGAACCATCCCGGTTGCTTGGTGTAGCGGGGGTCTTCCTCTCCTCATATCTATGCACCTGCATTTCACAAGAAAGGGTTAAGTTATGATTCATTGGTTTGATATTTCTCTAAGTATTATTGTGTAAGGGACGAGTCCGAAGAACGCGACTCTGATACCAACTGTAACGACCCCAAAAATTTAAAAAGGAAATGTACATAAAGAATATAAGTGCGAAAGCGAAATAAAAGGTTCTGGTTAATATCTCTTACACAATAACTTAAACGTATTAACAATACCGAAAATAAGTCATCTAAAGGAAAATACTGGAAATGAAAGACTATAAAAGAAACTAATAAACATCTAGGTATCTACTCGCCGTCTTCTTGTAGATTAGGCTCGGGAACCAAGTCCTCCTGATCTGAAATGGTTAAGTAAGAAATGAGCTACACTACCCCAGTAAGGACATCACACTATATCACTGTCACATAAGTAAAGGTTGGTAGAAAACCAAAAACAACCAACGGAGTACAAGTTTCAAGTAAATTTATTTATCAATAATCAAACCATTTACCGTCCACTTACCTCAGTGAGATTTGTAAAAACGACCCATAGAAACAATAACATCATAGATATCATAAGTTTATACATAATCTGTAACATAATACATGTCATACTTTAATATTTCAATCATTAAACAACGTTTGCTCCCTTTTTATTAGTCTACTAGTATCCGTGGGGATCCATAGGGGTTCTCGCTACCCGTGAACCATTCCTTTGACAAACTTAATTTCCAGGGCCGTTCTCATACCCCGTCCGGTATGGGGTGCCAAACAATAAATCTCAATACCCCGTCTGGTATGAGAGTGAAGCGAGCCGTCCCCATACCCCGTTCGGTATGAGTGCCAAAACATTTAAAGTCTCAATACCCCGTCCGGTATGAGACAACGTTCTCGGTAAGGTTTCCTATGGATCCGGTCCGTCCACCATCTCCCAAGATATCTAGTGAGTCTGTCAACTTATTCATTTATCAATTCACACCCCTTTCCTATTTTTTCTGTTACCCATTCAAACATGAATACTTAAACAAACAACGTGCATCCAACAAGGCAAACATATCTTATATTCACAAAATAAAACACTAGTGAAGTAAACAGTGATTCATGCATTCAAAACCATAGAATAAATAAAACAGATACCATAATACATTTAAAGTGTAAAATAAACCAAACAGGAACTGACAGAGAAATATGTTCGATTTGAGCTCCATTAGCAACTGTAATTAATTATACATATCTACTCAATTTGTACAAAATACAATTTTATAATTTATTCAGACTTTAATCCCGTAATAGGAAATAGAGTGAGGGGTTTTTACCTAATTCGAAGCCGAAAATCAGATTTTCACTGCGCCTACGGGCAGTCCCTAGTTTCCCTGAATCTTTTCCGGAAACTGAAACGCACTTACGGTACTACACATGTCTAAATAACTCAATAATAAGACCCAAGGCCTATTCGGTGAATTTCAGAATTCCGGCATGGCGGCTCCGCCGTGCTCCGCCGATAGTGCCACCGCGAGCGGCGGCGATTCGCCTCGGGTTGGCTGTTTCGTTTTCGGCCGAATTCGGCCAAACTTGCATTGGTTCCTGTGAGAAATCACCCATAGGGCCCCTTGGTGAGCTGAAAAAATGCCAAAAACTGAAACTTACCGGCGGGGGGGCTTTTTAGTGCGGCGACTCCTTCATCTCGAGTAGTGATTTGATATTTTGCTCTGGTCAACCTGTAGGGGAAGGAACGGTGGTCACAATGGTATAAAAATTACATTGAACAGGAATCGGGAAGGGCCTCATCGGAGGCAAAAATCAAGAAAACCCGTGGCGGTGCCGCTGGGCTTCGGCAGCGTTTTCTAGCCAATTGGCCAGTGTTTTGGCTCTGATTTGGCCACAAGTGGGTTTAGAATCGAATTCTGAGCCAATGGGAGAATTTTTACCTCGTTTGGCGACCGAAAAGTGCTCCGGTGCGGCGACGGGTGGCGGCGGTCGGCTCCCTGGCAGTTGGGCTGTCTTCTCCGACGAGAGCTTTGGTGGCTAGGGTTAGGGTTTGGTTGTGGATGAGATTATTTATAATCTTTCACTTTTAATCTGAGCCGTCCATCGCGATTTAATCTGGTCCCTCCGATCGCGATTAAAAAAGAAATGAATGTGGACCGTTCATCGCGATGCAATTTGAGCCATCCATACGTGATTCAATCTGGACCGTCCGTGCCCATACAATCTGGGCCGTCTGTGCACACGGAAATAGATTTCAGCCGTTCAATCGCGCGCACGCAGATCGCCCACGTGGCTCCCTTCTGCGTGACCTCCCGCATCAGCGTCTCTGCCACGCGGCGCGTTCTGGTCTGCCGAAACTGCTGACCGGGCAACTGACGTGGTACAATTTTTCTAAATTGCGTTTTGACCTCTGGTTTTCAAATTTCTTTTCAAAAATACCCCCAAAACTTAAATTTTCACCCATTTTTTTCAAAATTATTTTCAATTAAATCTCTAAAATAATTTTTACCCCTTTTTATTATTACTATTATTATCTTTTTATTTAATTAAATTAAACTAAATTAAAACCATATATTATTACATAATAAATTATTATATTCATATAAAAATTACAAAAAATTAAAATAAAATAATACTAATAATAGTAATACGAATTGAGGTGTTACATTAACTTAATTACCAAGACATTTAATATAAGTTTTCTGAAAATTTTAAAAATAATGACTAATTTTTCATGCCTGACTAAAGATGGTTGTTTGATCTCTAAAAGGACCTTGGGTTTTGGCCATATTCATTATTTTAATTTTTTTAATTATCTAATAAGTTATATTTTAATTTAGCTTTACAATTTTAAAAAATTAATTTGTTAATCATCAATGATTTATTTATAAATTTATTTTCTATTAATGTATATAGAATATTATTATTTAATTATTAATAGTTTTTAAACCTTTTATTTTCATTTTTTGATAAATTTATTTATTATTCTATGTAACTTAAAATTATTTAATATACTATGCTGACACTCTGAAATTTTCTTTTAAAATGATGAGATGTACAAATGACAAAAATTCCTAAATCAATAATGATCGAACATTTTAGCACTTTTCTATTCTACAAATGATAAGAAGCAAAAAAGGAGATTTTTTGAATAAACAAAAGAACAAGGGCAATAAATTTTAATAGAGAGGGACTTAAATGGAAGAGACGGACAAGAATGGCGCTAAAAATGCAAATTCCATGGAAGTAGGTGAATCAACAAAATGAAACACCGAGAGCCAATTAGCTCTGGTCACGTGTGCTAGCGACGTCAGAACGTGCTAGTTAGAAAAGAGTGATCTAGATGAAGCCATCTTACACTAATGGGGCGAGTCACACGGTGTTGAATTAATCCCTTAATCATGGACGACTCAGATTTGAAAAAGCAGAACAATGATCAGGATTAAATTTCATCAGTTATAAAAAAGGAAGAGGTCGAGCTACAGTGACTCATGGGAGAAAGAAGAACTAAGTTTCTTATAGGTGATGAGAGAAAGAAGAGGGAATTACTGCTTCCAAGGTCGAAAGGGGGGCAAACGATGAGGGATTTTACCAAGGCATAACCACTATCACTCGGGAACGAAGAAGTAAGATCAATTTGATCTTGAAACCGAGTTTTGAAATGGATACATTTAATTTTCTAAAAAGTGATACTATGAGTAAATTTTAGAACCCTAATGAATAATTTGTGCGAATTTAAGTCTGAATTATCTATGTGAATTGAAGTCTACTGAAGTTAATTTCTTCACTGAGGTAAATTTTTATAAGCTAAAATGATGGGAGTATGAGACAAAAAATAATTGTTGTAAAACCCTTGAGAGATGTGGGAAGTCTTAGGCGTCCGGGTAAGCAATCCTACTTGAATTAACAAGCTTATCAGTTTAGCTTGATCCAAAGTTAGTGATGCCTAAGTGAATTAAATAGACCACTACAATCAGATAGGGAAAAAAGGGAATGAGGTGGATTAGGATACAAAGGGAAAAAGAATTTTAGGAGATACTGAGTAACTAAACACCCTACTGTATGAGGTTATAACCCAAGATTTAAAGACTAGAGGAAAATATAACAGGGAAATGTCAAGATGATTTAGAGATGTAGTGATGTTGTTGGGAGAAGCAATATACAACTCTGAGGATGGGTGTAGATAGAAAGTGAGGATGTGTGAGGAAGACAAGAGATTGAGAGTAAGGAAAAAAAGGGGATAAACTGTATAGACTTAAAAAAATGAGAAGAAAAAAAAGGAGCAATCGTAAATAGGTGGACGAGTGTGGGGAAATTGAAAGTGGAAATGGTAATAACGAAAAAAGTATAGGAAACAAAAAAATGAAATAAATATTGTAGAGGTAGACCTTTAAGGGTGAGACAGATCTTGTATTCAGATTTAAAGAGATTGAAAAGCAGGTGGCTTCCTAGTTTGATCGGAAGACACTGTTAGGATCCATAGATCCCAACGTGTTCCCACAAGAAATCCAAAATACCGAAATGGAAGAAAATGACTTAGTCAACCGCACATGCACCAACCATCCCCACAAAATCGGTCCACCATATCCACATTCAGCCAATTCCACTGTGCAACAACTCTCCACAACAGTAGTGGACCATTATCCCTTATCTCTTTCTTTGGAAATCATGTTCGTAGAAGTAGGAAGTAGTTATTAGCTTGTAATCCCTCTTTGACTATTTAAAGCCTCGACATATGAATGAAAAGCAAATAGAAAATCATTCCAAATTCTGGGTTCTTTTCTCACCTTAAGCAGAAAGATTTTTATTTCCTTCAAGTTTTGATTGGGACCTAACATTGGTATTAGAGTTATGTCTAATAAGAAGAGGATTGAACAACTCGAAGCAAGTGTTGGGAGGCTACAACATAGCTTCAGTAAAATAGAGTTGGGAGTTGCGGATAAGCTACACCAGATGGAGGACACCCTTAAACGGTTGACAGAGGCGTTGCTAACTAACCAAGAGGATTCCAGCAGCAACAACCCAGTTTGAACGGGGTCAGCATAGCCTTTCCGTGAGGAAGGACCCGGTTGAAATGAAGGTAATAGCCCGCCCTTCCACTCTCATCTTGCCAAACTTGAATTTTCAATTTTTGCAGGGGGCGATCCGACCGAATAGATTAGCCGAATGGAGTAATTCTTTGATTACCAAGCCACTGCCGATGAACAGAAAGTGCAGCTGGCGTCTTTCCACTTGGAGGGCGAAGCCAACTAGCAGTGGCAATGTCTTCACCGAACTTATCAAGAAGAAGGGAAGCTGGTGACGTGGACCAGGTTTGTAGAAGAACTTCGGCTCCGCTTTGGGCCAACAGAGGTGGAAGACTTTGATGAGACATTGTTTAAAATTAGGTAGGTCGACCCATTGAGAGAGTACCAAAAAGAGTTCGAATGGCTTGGCAACCGAGTCCACGGTTGGACCCATAAGGCTTTAATTGGAACCTTCAAGGGCTCAACCCGAAATAACAGATGGGATAAGGATGTTCAAGCCTAGGACCCTGAAGGATGTGATAAGCCTAGCCCGTATGCGTGAGGAGCAGTTGGGCCGTTAAAGTAGGCTGGACTGGGTGGGACAGACTCAACCCGACCCACCAGCACGCTCTCTATTTGACTAGACCCCGCGAGATCTAGCAGCAACAGTCGCCGCTCGCAAATAGTTATCCTAGGAATAAGCACAACGTCAGCGAGCACAAGGTTTGTTCTTCCACTGTGACCAAAAGTTTACATTCGGCCACAGATGCCGTTGATCCCAACTATTACTTCTGGAAGTCGACAAAGAGGAAGAGGGTGGCGAATCGGTGAAGCCTGGCTGAGCAGAGAGACAAGAGCACCTGAATCTTGAGGACAAGGTTGCTAACAAAGGGGAGAGTGATGTTAGGATTCGTAGATCCCAACGTGTTCCCACAAGAAACCCAAAATATCAAAATTGAAGAAAATGACCCAGTCAACCGCACGTGCACCAACCATCCCTACAGAACCGGTCCACTATATCCATATTCAACCAATTCCACTCTGCAGAAGCTCTCCACAACAAAAGTGGACCATTATCCCTTATCTCTTTCTTTGAAAATCATGTTCGTAGAAGTACGAAGTAGTTGTTAGCTTGTAATCCCTCTTTGGCTATTTAAAGCCTCGATATGTGAATGAAAAGCAAGTAGAAAATCATTCCAAATTCTGGGTTCTTTTCTCACCTTAAGTAGAAAACATTCTTCTTTTCTTCAAACATTGATTGGGACTTAACAGACACATGTTGGAGTAGGTGTTGAATTAATATAGAAGTAGTTGGTGAATTTCCCATTTGGGTATATGTGGTGAGCAGACTTGGAAACTAACTGAAACCTCCCTGTAGTGCGGTGATGTATGAGTAGGCACGACAGAATTTAAACTGTGGAATTGATTCTATTTGAGTAATGTTGGATTTGTGATAAGTGATGTCTTTTAAATGTCCTCGTGGCGCTCTGTGTGTGAGCATATGGGGTTAATTGTGTGATTGAGGGATAAATTCTGGTTGCTTACTGATTGAAAAATGTGTCTTGCGAATGATTTTATTATGTAATATGTATGTGTGTGTGTGGTTAAATAAGAAGCCTTAGGGGATTTCTGCATGAATAATGATGGCATATGATGGGTATGTCTTACAAATTTATGTGTTGCAGGGAGTGTGAGTGTGTGTGTGTGGCTACTTGTGGAGCCGTATGCTTAAATCCTAAAAAATAGTCTCAGTTTCATGGTGGGTGAGTTGCTATAAACTTACTTTATACCGTGTGTGTGCGTGTGCCGTGACTGCTTAAGAAACCTGGGATTAACGAATACTGGGAGTGACTGGTTGGGAAAATGTGGGTGTACGTGAATACGTACATGGGTAAGGGGAGAATCTAATGGAAATGAAAATCTGGGAAAATGTAGACATGTCTTAAACTGGGAATAGTATGGGGTATTGTCATGAGTAATGTTGATATGTGATAAGTGATGTCCTTTAAATGTCCCTAGGGGATAAATTTTGGTTGCTTGCTAATTGAAAAATGTGTCTTGCGAATGATTCTGTTATGCAATATGTATGTGTGCGTGTGGATAAATGGGAAGCCTTAGGGGATCTCTGCATGGATAATGATGGCATGTGATGGATATGTTTTGCAAATTTTTGTGTTGCAGGTTGTGTAAGTGTGTGTGTGGCTACTTGTGGAATCGTATGCTAAAGCCCTAAAGAATAGTCTCAGTTTCATGGTGGGTGAGTTACTATAAAGTTGTTTCATACCCTGTGTGTGTATGTACTATGACTGCTCAAGAAACCTGAGATAGAGGGATATTGAGAGTGACTGTTTGGGAAAGTGTGGGTGTGTGTGAATTACAGGGGTAAGGGGATAATATGATGGAAAGGGAAATATGGGAAAATGCAAACATATCTTAAACTGGGAATAGTGTAGGGTATTGTCATTAGTTTGCGGGATTCCGACATTAGTCCATAAAGGAAAGTTACTAAAATAGTATACACAGAAGTATGGTAAGAGTTTAAGGGACCAATGAGCTGAAGATAACTAAGGAAATTTGGAGAATTAATTGCACCAATTTCAATTATGTTAGTTTGAGCTTTAAATTGATCTTATTGGGCTATGTAACTTACTCTTTTATTATCTTACAAAGACTGTCAAACAGGAACAAATCCAAGAGTTTCTAGAGCCTGGTTATGACTCGGAATATGTGCATAATTAGCTACAATCACTAATGAATTTTTTTAGTATAATTTTTGATATGATGCAATTATTATAAGTTAGTTTGGACTAGACACTGAAAATAGTGATATTGTAGATGTTTACAGTTGCTAGATGATTGTTATGTTGCATATATAAGCTAGGGGAGACAATTTTAGTTCATATGTTCTTGTCTACTGATGTTTTAAAACTAATAGAAAGACGTTTGACACCACACTCTTTTTGGGGATTAGGATATTACAGTTGGTATTAGAGCGGTATCCTGAGACGAACTGTGACATGATAAGCTCGTAAATAGGAAAAAAAAATAATAAATAAATAAATAGATAAATAATAACATATGTATAACGAGGCAAAATAAATTAAGACATCCCCGGGTTAACTCAATCTAACTTTTGGTGGCATGTAAGATAAATGGAAATCTTAAAGAGGGGTAGAGGAAGGCCACAAAGGGGATCTACTCCAACTCTCCTGGAACTACAAAGGACTCAACCGAGATAATTTCCTTCCATCAGGTACCACTTCCTGCATTTCATGTTGTGTTTGGATGAATTTTATGGTGGTTTATTAATGTATGATATTGTATGGTAATGACATAGTATGACAATAACATAGTAAGGTAATGACAAAGTTAGAACATGTTTGTGAAAATTGCACATTAATATATAATAATGACAACTATTTTGTTTGGATTGATAGAATGATATGGTTGTATATTCAGTCAAATTACTAATTTGTTCCTGCTTTATTGTATGTAATATTAAATAAAAAAAGAAAAAAAACACATTTAATTTGTAATTTAGTCATTTAATTTGAAAAATTATTTAAATTGTAATTTTTAATGAATTATGTAACGGCCCTGGAAATATTAAAATGAAATGAGTATTTAAATATATCAAATGCGGAAGCGAGATCAAAATTTCAGTTAACATCCCTTACACGAAAAACAAAAAACGTACTTAAAATATAAAAGATTAAACTAACTAAGAGAGAAACTCGAAAATAAAACTATGAGTATGACTACAGAGTCTCTAGGCATCCCCTTCGTCGTCCTCCTGCGGAACGGGCTCGGGAACCATGTCTTCCTGATCTGAAATGGTTAAATAAGGAGTGAGCTACACTAGCCCAGTAAGAACATCACGATATCTCACCGTCACGGAGGTAAAGGTGGGTAGAAAAACACAAAAAGACCAATGGAGCATAATTTACAATAAACTCGTTTATTAACATGAAAACCTTTACCATCCACTTACCTCGGTGGAATTTATGAAAACAATATAAGAAAAATAATAACATTATCATAATCATGGAATAGTATAAGCTGTAAAGCATAACACTTATCACGCCTCTTGTAATTCAATCATTGTACAACATATCTTTTTTCTCATTTACCAGCCTACTAGTATCCGTGGGGGTCCATAGGGGTTCCGCTACCCGTTAACCTTTAACATTCATAATCAGTTTCCAGGGCCGTCCCCATACCCCGTCCGGTATGGGCGCCAAAACCATGAACCTCAATACCCCGTCCGGTATGAGGGTGAAACGGGCCGTCCCCATACCCCGTCCGGTATGGGCGCCAAAACCATAAACCTCAATACCCCGTCCGGTATGAGGGTGGAACGGGCCGTCCCCATACCCCGTCCGATATGGGTGCCAAAACCATAAGATCTCCATACCCCGTCCGGCATGTGAGACCACAATCCCGGTAGGGTTCCCTACGGACCTGGTCCGTCCACCATCTCCTAGGATATCTAGTTAGGCTGACCCTCATAATACAATTATCAGTCTACACAATCTTTCATTTTCCTTTTCCTCAGTCAGCATCATCAATTCACATACAAACAAGCAAAACAGTAATTCATGCCGAACAGACAACATACAGTATCAGTTTTTCAGTCATTCAACCAATGATTAATAAAAACGTAGTATTTGCACACAAATCTGTAAAATGAACACATCAAACCTCATTTTGCATTTAAAGCTGTAAACAGGCTAAATAACAGTAAATCACCAATCACACTAGACTCGGGCTCCATTAGTCACCTTAAGCAATTTCACACATTCGTTAATTCAAGAAATACCGTTTTATCATTTTGAACTTTAATACCGTGATAGGAAATAGGGTGAGGGGTCCTTACTTGTTTTCGGAATCCGAATACGATTCACAGTGCGCCTGCAGGCCGTCCCTAATTTTCTCTGAATTTTTCCCGGGGAACTGAAACACACTAACAGTACCTGCACGTGTTCCAAAAAAAATCCAAATTAGGCCCAGGGCCCCTTTCGGACCAAATCGCAACTCCGGCACGGCGGCTCCGCCGTGCTCCGGCGACGGCGCCGCCGCTGGCGGCGGCGAGTCGCCTCGGGTTGGCTGTTTTCGGCCGAATTCGGCCACACTCACATTGGTCCTTGTCAGAAAACAACCCTAGGGCCCTCGGGGGGCCAAAAATCACGGAAAAGCGGAGCTTACCGGCGGCGGCGCTCTCGGGTACGGCGGCTCTCCGGCGAGGTTCGTGTTTTGGTGATTCGGCTTCGGTCAACCTGTATAGAAAAGAATGGTGATCACGGTGATATAAAAATTGCATCTAACGGAGGCCGGGAAGGACCTCGTCGGAGGCAAAAACCGATAGGGGCGCGGCGGCGCCGCTGGTTTTCGGCCGCGTATTCCGGCCGTTTGGCCGGGATTTCGGCCTAATTTGGCCATAGGAGGAATCAGCGGATAAAAACGAGTCGTGGGTATGAAATTTACCTCGATCGGCGGTCGGAAATTTCCCCCGATGC